TGTTTAGTGGCGCCGCGCGCCCCTGGCGCCCGCGACGCGCCCCCACGCCGCCTCCCAGCCTGCTGTCCCCCGCCTGCCTGCCCCTTGCGTGTGTGTGTGCAAATGGAGGCGCTGCTGCCCATGACGGTGCGCTTCTCCAACCCCATCCAGTGCGGCGGCTCCTGGTCCTTTGTGCGGTACCACGGATTCTTCACGTGAGCCCTGCCCCGCCCCGCCTCTGTGGACGCCGGCAGCCCGCCCCGCCCGCCCCGCCCTGCGCCCGGCATGCCCGCCCCTGAGCCTGTTGACGCCGTCTGCCTGGGGGCCCACCACCGCGCAACCCACCTTGCCCAAACCGCCCTGCTCCCTGCCCTCGACTCCTCTGCCCCCTCCCCCCGCCTCACTGGCCGCCTCTGTGTGTTCGCCCCGCCCCGCCCCACCCCGCCCCCCGCCCGCAGCAAGAACCACAACCGGTGGCCCATCCCGCCGCTGTCTGAGCGCCCCTACGACGTCACCTTCATTGGGAAGCTGGAGTATGAGGCAAAGACGGCTGTCAGTGGGGTGACGGCGCACAGGTGGGGGCGCCGAGCAGGGGCCGGCGGGGGGTGCGGCAGGGGGTGATGCGACGCTTGCGTGGTTCCCGGCTGGCCGGCGGGCGCGCGGCGACGCGCCGCGCATGCGGCGGGAGCGTGGCTGCACGGAGCGACGGGGTGCTGCGCCGCTGCCGCCCCCAAACACAACATGCGCCGCCGCCTTTCTCCCCTTGCCACAGGATGGCCGCCGTCAAGGCGCTGAGCGCGTTCCGCGACAAGTCGGGCCACCAGTACAAGGTGTACGTACCGCAGGTGGGCCCCCTTGTACTGCCGGGCTGGGCGGGGTGGCGGCTGGAGCGCGCTGCCCGTGCTGCTGCAGCCCGCCAGCGCCCGAGCGCCCGGCTGCCAGCCAGTCCGGCGGCTGCATGCGCCGCACCGACCTCCTGTACGCCTGGCTGTACCGCCTGGTACCACAGGGCGAGCGCCTGGAGTACCACGACTACATCGGCCTGCTGAAGCAGTCCAAGATTGTCATCAGCCCCTGGGGCTGGGGCGAGTGGAGCCACAAGGTGCGGGCGGCCGCCTGCCGCGGGGCGCCCCCGGGCGGCCAGGCATTGTGCCACGCACGCGCGCGCGCCCTCGCCGCTGCCAGCACCAACACACCCGCGCATACCCGCACACGCATGTCCGCACACGCTGCCCCGCCCGTGCCCTCCCTCCCTCCCTGCCTCCCCTCAGGACTTTGAGATTTTGATGAGCGGGTGCGTGGTGGTGAAGCCGCGGGTGGACATCTTCAAGCTGCACCCGCCCATATTTGAGGTGCGGCGCCCTCGCTGCCGCTCACTACTGCTAGCAAAGAAGCGGGTGGCAGTGGTGGTGTGTGGGGGGGCCGGCCGCCTGGCCAGGCCTCCGCGGCTCCTCGGCTGGGCGGCTCCTCGGCTACCGGGTGGATGGTGGTGGAGGTGGTGGTGGTGGCAGGATGCGGGGTGCCGCGGCCCCGCGCCTGGGGCTGGCTGCAGGGCAGGCGCGCCGCCGCCTCGCCTCTGCTCGCACGCATCCCCCACATGTGCGCACACACACACACACACACACACACACACCTCCCAACCTGCAGCACAACGTGACCGCCATCAGCGTGAAGGAGGACCTGTCTGACCTGGAGGAGGCCATCATGCCCTTCCTCACAGACATGCCGCGCGCGCAGGTGCGCACCCCACAGCACACGCCACAGCACACGGCCCGGCGGCCGCAACGCCGCGCTCGCCTGCTGCAGCCAGCTGCCGGCGCCGACGGCGTGCGCGCGCGGCGCCGCGGCGTGCCGGCTCACGCCGGCGCGCCGAGGCCTGGGCAGCCGCCCCGGCCGCCGCCCGGGCCCTGCATCCGACTGCCGGCGTCCCGTGGCCCCGCCGGCTACGCTGGTCTGCCCGGGTCCGGCTGACCCGCCCTGCCGCCTCCCTTGCCCTCCCTGGCTGCCTGTGTGCAGGCCATGGCCACGCGGCAGCAGGGCGTGTTCCGCAAGTATGCCAAGCCGGAGGTCATGGCAGCGGACTGGGACGAGCTGCTGCTGCGGGTGGGTGGCCTGGGCGGGCTGGGCTGCTGCCGCAGGCGGCGCGCCGGGCAGTGCGCCGGTGGCAGCGGCACGCGACACCTGCGCCGGCGCGCAGCTCGGGGCGGCATGTGGCCGGCAACCGGCGCACTGGCTGGGCTGCTGGCGCGCCCCTTGCTGGCATGCACTTGCTGTCATGCGTGGGGGGAGGGGACCTGCTGGCGCTGCCTCGAGCGTGCCTTGCTGCTGCCTCCAACCCCCCCTTCTTCGTCCCTGCTGCAGCGCATGACCCAGGCCTTCAGCAAGAAGCCGGCAGAGGAGTGGCAGCCGCATGCGCAGCTGGAGGAGGTGGCGGCGGTGGCGTTCCAGGAGGAGGAGGAGCAACGGCTGCAGGATGTGGACAGGCAGAGGGAGGAGGACAGGGAGCAGGAGGAGGAGGAGGAGGATGAGCGGGAGGAGCGGGCGGGCAAGCCGGAGGAGGGCAAGGAGGGCGCGAAGCAGGAGCAGGCGGAGGAGCAGGAGGGACAGCGGCAGCAGGCTGAGGCAGGTGATGAGCAGGAGGAGCAGGAGGAGCAGGCGGCCGCAGCCAAGAAGGTCAAGAAGGAGGAGCAGGGCAAGGGCAAGGACACCGCCACCGAGCGGCGCTGAGCTCGCCCTGCCCACCCTCGTCAACCCAATTACAACCTGACGTTTCACTCAGCATGCCACTGCATGTTGGCCCCCCTTCTTTTTCCCTCCACTTAGGTACCCCTTCCCACCACTTGCCCCCATTTCCAGCTTTTGCCCCCACCCCCCCCCACCCCACCCCAAGCTGCCCATGTTCCTCATTCATGCCGTGCCTCCAGGTGGGGGGCGAGGGTGCATTGGCAGTTGAGCCCCACCAGCTTTTGCGCTGGTCCCCCCTTTGGTAGGCAGGCAACAGGTAGGCCCTTTCCGAAATTTTCATACACAGCTTTCTCCAGTTAGCTTCAGGAACAGTTGCAGCTGCTGTAACACAACAATTGACGTGCAGGGCAAGGCGGAGGGCGGCAGCCAGACTTCGGTGGGCACCCCCACGCTGCCAGCTGCGCCTCCGGTGTTCTAATTGTGGCATGAAAAGCGCAGCGCTGTTCATGCTGTGCTGTGTGGCAACAAAATGCAAAAAAAACTGCAACTGGCCGGGGCAAAATCTGTGATTGTCCCGGCCGCGGCGACGGCAGCCAGCGCCGCCGGGCCTCCCAAAACATATCTACGCATCTGCCGCCTGCACGTGGCTCGAATGTGGTGAGTTACTCGAATTGGGACCGTGCAATGCGCAGGGGGCAGGGAACCCCAATGGTGGGCATGTTCGCACACGACGGTCCCCTGGCCATGGCCGGGCACTGTTGACGTCGAATACAAGCTGGTCGTTGGCTGCCAGATTGATTGGCTCCTTTGTGGTTTATGTGTGCTCGGGCCACTTCTGAAGTACTCCCCCGCTGTTCCCATTTGATGGCTCCAGCCACTCCCCGGGGGCCCCTGGGGGCCCCGCCTGAGCATCCCAGGGTCACCCGCCCTGGGCCCGCTCCCCTCCTGCCGGACCGGAACGCACCCTCCACAAAGTGGTGGGGGACGTGGGGATCCTTAGCGGCTTGGGCCTGCCAGACCGACGGGTGCCGACGCTGGTGCGGGCACACCCCCATGCCCGCCCATATCCCAGGCTCATGAAAACACCTGAAGGTTTCACATGTAAGGGGGCATGCACTGCAGGCGTGATGGTTTGATGTTGGTGGCAGCAATGCAGAGGCGGCAGCAGCTCCAGGTGCTCAACGGTGGCTGACCCCTGCCCCCGCCTGCCCAAGGCAGGCCCAGGAAGGCCTTGCTGCCCCCCTTGCCCTCAGCCAAGGCAGCCCCACACTTCCTGCACTTGGCACCAGCAGCAGCAGGTGCAGCTACAGTAGCAGCAGCAGGCACGGCAGGCGCAGAAGCAACGGATGCGGCAGCGGCAGCGGGCGTCCTCTGATGAGTCGGCGGGTGCCACAGACGCCGAGGAGCCCTCCTCTTGACTGGGCACCCCGTCAGAATGGCACTGTTCTTTGTGTGAGCCTCTCTGCCATACATTGGCGGGCCACACTCACTTTCGGTACTGCCTGGAATGGCCACACTTCCATCCTGTTTGTGCGCCTCTGCCCTTCCTGCCCAGTACCCCACCCACCTTCGTGTGCCACCCCAGCACATCACGACATGCCTGTCCGTGACATGGTTTGAAGTGGGTTCTAAAGAAAAACCAACGGCCGCTGGCTGGGCGGAAGCGTCCAGCCCCAACATGCAAGGAGGAAATAGCAAGGAGGGCAGCAAGAGGAGCAGAATGGAGCGGGCAGAGCGCGAAAAGCAAGCAGCACAAATGGTTAGCAGCGAGAGCAGCAGGTGAAAGAGGGGAAGTCGCAAGAATGTGTCTGTGCGCCGACGTGGCACGGGCAGCGTAGAGGGCTGCACGCCGCGTCACTGGCTGCCGCCGCCGCCCGACTGCTGCTGCTGCTGCTGGCCTTCGGGGTAGTCTGTGGGCAGCCCCTTTTCCTGGAACTCCTGCTCCAGCCGCTCCTTGGCCCTGCAGGCAGGAGCCAGCCAGGCAGCCAGGCAGGCAGGCAGCAGTGAGGGGCCAGCAGGGGGCCATTTGGCTGTATGGCCGCCACTTCAGGCAGCAACACACCAGCCAGTCTTCTGCGCATCGGCGGCGAGCAAGGGAGGACACGGCGCCAGCGTCCACATCTGCATCGCCGGCTAGGGAGCGCCCAGCCGCGCGGCACAGCAGCGAGAGCAAGGGGCCACCCCCGCGGCGGCCGCCCGCCCACCTGTAGACCTTGGACTGCAGGTAGAAGGAGCCGCTCTTCTCGTTGGCCTGGAACAGATGGTCGTACTTCTGCGGGCGGCAGAAGCAGGGGGTGGGGCGGTGCCAGCGCGTGCCTGGCAGCTACCGGAAGCGGCAGGGTGTGGCGCACGCTGCCGGCCCGCCGGCTGCCGGCGGCCTGGCTTCCGTCTTGGGGTGCCCGCCTGGCGGGGCTGCCCCACCTTCATGATCTCCTGCCACGTGGCCCCCGACTCGATGCCCAGAATCATTTCTGCCTCCTGCAACGTCAGCTGCTTGCTGCCCGCCGCCCGCGCCGCGTTGGCGCCCTCCGCCGCCACCCCCGCCTTGGTGCCGTCTGCAGGCAACAGAGCAGGAGGCGCAGAGGCATCGCTATGGGCACAGGGGGCCGTCATTTGATGCGCTGGGAACACTGTGCCTTCTGGTGGGCGGCGGCAGCAGCAGCGGCGGCAGCGGCGCCATGTTTCCCCTGCACCAGCCCCCTGGCAGCCAACACGCCTCCAGATGCCTGCCACTCACTGATGATTGCCTGCCGATAGGCCTGCGAGGCTGCACGGAAGAGCACCGTGCCTCCAGCCACCAGAAGGTTGGCCAGGATTTTTGCGGCCTGCGGGCACCAACGGATATGGTATCAGTGCACAGGGAATGCAGAGGGTGTTTGGCGTGAGCCAGCCGCAGGAGCTCACCATGTCTGGGTGCTTAGCCGGCGCCTGCTGTCTGTGTCGAGCCGTGCAGAACGTTGGCAGCCTCAAAGGCGGCTCCTGGGGCGCACGGGCCCTCTCGAGCGCTGGACTGCAGTACATTACAAGTACTTGTGTCCATTTTCCAAAAGAAAGCTATTCAACGCGTTTTGGTCACACCTCCTGTCGCCTCAGCAGTCTCCCTGGCTATGCCTGCGAGGGTTTGGCACGCACCCCAAGTTTGCCGCCACACCGCGTTGTCGCTGCCTGGCTGGTCGTTCTCTGGCCGGCCCTGTGCTAGCCAGCACTAAAGAAGGATGAAGGCGCAGCGCTTGACGACCCTGCGAGACGCGCGGTAAGCGTTGGAGGGAGGCCCTGTTTGCTGGGCCCTGCCCCCCCGGCCACCCCTGGGCCAGGCCCCTGCCCACGACGAGGCAACACACACGCCCTGGGCTGCCTGCAGGCTGCTGCCACCGGTTGCGCGTCCAGCGCCGGCGCCCCTCGCCGCCCGCCCTCGCCCGGTGGTGTGCGCCCAGCAGCGCGACCAGGACCGGGGCCAGCAGCCCTACAAGACCGTGTCCGGCACCGCGGCGACCATCCCAGCGGCCCCCGGCCCGCAGCCCGGCCGCCGCGAGGGGCTGGGCGAGGCCGTCGACAGCGGCGCGAGCGCCAACCCCGCGGTTGCGGCGCTGGCCACGCTGCAGGGGCAGTGGGCTGAGCTGCCGGCGCAGTACAAGCTCGTCTTCGCCACCTCCTTGTCCTTTGTCATCTGCAACATGGACAAGGTGGGTGCGCCACCTGGGCAGCCGCCGTGTGTGCCCAGCGGCGTCCCACCGCCGCCATCTCAATCTCATGTTCGCAGCAACAGCAAAGCCAACTGGCACTGCTGCCTCTCCCGTTTCCACCTCAGGTCAACATCTCGGTTGCAATCCTGGCCATGAGCCGAGACTTTGGGTGGAGCCCCACCATCTCAGGTGGGCTCAGGGCGGCGCCGCGCCGGCCTGGCGCCCGCCGCGCCTTGCCTCCCCGCGCCCGCCGCGGCACCCGCTGCTCTCACCGGCCAGTGCTGGCTCTGCTGCTGCTTCAGCCGTGCCCGCGGCTGCGGCTGCCAGCTGCAGCTCCAGCTGCACCTCTCTGCTGCCCTGCTGCTGCTTGCTGAGCCGCACCGGCTGCCGCCGGGCTGCTGTGCAGGCCTGGTCCAGAGCTCCTTCTTCTATGGCTACCTGCTGAGCCAGATCCCGGGAGGCTACGCCGCCTCGCTGCTGGGCGGCCGCAAAGTGCTGCCGGGCGGCGTGGCGCTCTGGAGCGGTGCGTGGGGCTGGGGCCAGCTGCCTGCCTGGCTGCCTGGCTGCCTGCGGTTTGCGCTGGCGTGCGCACACACACACGCGCCACTGGGGGACGATGCCTGACCTGGCAGCTGCTCAATCCAGAGGCAAAGCGTGACAGGCCTTGCCCTTGCACCGCTGCCACGCTGCCGCGTGCAGTGGCCACCGCGGGCGTGCCGCTGCTGGCGGGCACGCTGCCGGGCCTGTTCCTGTCACGGGCGGCGGTGGGGCTGGGCGAGGGCGTGGCGCCGTCTGCCGCCACCGACATCGTGGCGCGCGCGATTCCCACCGACCAGCGCAGCCGTGCCATCAGCTTCATCTTTGGGGGGCTGCACGTGGGCAGGTGCGTGGCGTGGAGTGCAGCTGGCGGTAGGGAAAAGCACAACAGAAATCCAGTGGGGCGTGTGGATGTGTGGTGGTGCGTGTGCGCACGCTGCTGCGCTGCCGGTGTGTGAGGGCAGCCGGGCCCAGCCCACGGGCGCAGGCGCTGACCTTGTGCTGCGCCACCGGCTGCCCGCTCCCCCTGCCTGCGCGCCTGCAGCCTGTTGGGCCTGCTCATCGCGCCGCCCCTCATGGAGCGCTTTGGCTGGCCCTCCGTCTTTTACCTGTTTGGCGGCGTGGGCCTGGTGTGGTGCCTATGGTGGGAGCGCCTGCTTGCCGAGGTGCGGCAGCAGGACCCGGCGCTGGCCGCAAAGCTCATCGGGCACGGCGGCGTGCCCGACGCCGCGGCGCCGCGGCAGCAGCCAGGCGGCAGCGGCGCGCGGTTGGGGGAGGCGGAGGGCAAGGCGCACGCCGCGGCGCACGCCGGCCATGGCGGCGTGATTGACGCGCGGCAGCCGGTGCCGTGGCGCGCCTTTTTGCGCAACCCGCCGCTGCGCGCGCTGGGCTTCACCCACTTCTGCAACAACTGGTGCGCCTGCGCTGGCCACGCTGGGCATGGCCTGCCTGGCATGGGGTGGCCTGCGCTGGCTTGGCTGCCCGGACGCTCGCCCCCGCTCCCTCACGCCCCCATCCGCCCCGGCCGCTCGCCGTGCCGCTGCCTGGCGGCCCGCCACCCGCCGCCACCACCGCCACACGCTCTCGGCCACACCACACACCTGCCCAACACTAGCCCTCTCCCCTCCTCCCCTCCTCCCTCCCTCCCTGGGCCCCGCAACCTCGCAGGTTCCACTACACCATGCTGGCCTGGATGCCCACCTACTTCACCGACTCGCTGTCCCTCGACCTGAGCCACGCGGCGCAGGTGTCGCTGCTGCCGCCCATCGCCGCCATCGCCGCCTCGGCGCTGGCGGGGCCCTCGGCGGACGCGCTGATCGCGCGCGGCGTGCCCGTGGAGACGGTCAGGTGGGGCTGGGGGGGTGAGGGGGGTGGAGCGGCTGGGGAGTGGCATGTGCGGGCTGGGCTGGGCTGGGCTGGTGTCGAGTCGGCGTGTGTGTGCGCGCGCGTGTGTGTGTGTGTGTGTGTGTGTGTGTGTGTTGTTGATGCCGGAGCAGCGCTGGGGGCGATGTGCGTCGTGGGTTGGCGTTGTGAGTGCGCCAGGCGGCGACGCACAGCGCCGCCTGCGCCGCCCCGGCTGGCCTGGCTGCAGGAAGGCCGCCCAGTGCACCGCCTTCCTGGGCCCCGCCGGCTGCCTGCTGGCGGCAAGCCTCATGGAGGGCAGCACGGCGTCTGTGGGTGAGCCGTCCAGCTGGGCAGGTCCTGGTTGGTGGGGGGCTGCCTGCCCTCTGCAGCCCTGCTGCCCGTGTGCCGAGACGTGTGTGCCGACGTGTCTTGCCCTGCGTGTGCCGACGCCTCCCCGCCCCGTGCCCCGCCCCCTCCCCCGCCCGCAGTGCTGGTCACGCTGTCGCTGGGCCTGGCAAGCTTCAGCCTGGCCGGCCTGTACTGCAACCACGCCGACCTGTCGCCGCGGTACGCCTCTGTGCTGCTGGGCATGACCAACACCAGCGGCGCGCTGCCGGGCATAGTGGGCGTGGCCTTCACAGGTGGGCAGAGGCGCACATGTGGTGTGCGACTGTGTGTGCTTGTGTGTGTGTGGATGTGTGTGTACGGGTGTGGCCACCCACACCGTGGGGAGTGGCCGCTCCTGGGCAGGCACCCGGCGCATACGAGCCCATTGGAGCCCACCCCCTGGACTGACCCCGCCCCCCCACGCGCCCGCAGGCTGCCTGTTTGACTGGACGGGCTCCTGGGGCTGGTCCCTGTTTGCCCCCTCCATCTTCTTCTTCCTCACCGGCTCAGGTCAGCCAGCGCCCGCCCCCGCCAGGCAGCCGCCGCCGCCTGCCCAGCTCCCGCCCGGCGCTGCCGCCGCCGAGTGGTGGCGTGCTGCGTGCCGCTGGGCGTGGTGTGCGTGGTGTGTGCGTGCAAGTGGCAGCCACCGCAGCGCTGCTCCCTCTTGACGTGCCGGCCGCGCTGCCTGCCGCCCTGCTGCAGCTGCGTATGTGCGGTGGGGCAGCGCTGACCCTCAGGATTTCAGCGAGGAGGCCAACAGCGAGCCCTTTGCCGTTGAGCGCTGGCTGGGCCTGGTGCGCTCGCGGCTGCCCGGCGGGAGCGGCGAGCAGGCCGGCAAGGAGGACTGAGGAGGAGCGGCGGAGCGACCCGCAGCCGTGACACCTTGTACCATACCTAGTGCCATCTCTCATCTGATTCTCAGCACACCCGGGCCTGGCTGCTCCACTGGACAGCTTGTGGCTGCCTGCCGACATGCAGGCGGCCACACGAGCCCGGGGCGCAAACCCAGTCTAAACCCAATTTCTCTTTTCAGTGTGCCCAGGATGAGCGCCGAACGTTTTGTAGAGTGTTTGCGAGCCCTTTTTGATCCAAAGGCGCCCGGGAATTCTCACGGCCCTGCCCGGTCCATCCTGTGATGTCATGATTCCTGCGCCCCTGGCGCTGATCACCCCCCCCCCCCCCCCCTGCCCTGCATTGCTATGGATATTCTGCCTTCTGCCCCCGGCCTTCTGCCAATTGCCGTACCGGGCCCCATACTACTTGCTACCTGCGCAATTGTCATTGCATGCGTGTTGTACGGATGAAGAATCAAGTGTCCTTGATTGCTGCCTGCATGCGAGTTGTAAAAAAAAACAGGAATGAAGGCATCCAAAGATGAGCCTTGGCTTCCTTGGGAAGAAGCACAGCAACTGGCATGCTATGCATCCCCATGCACGTCAGATGTTGCCCCTGCCTGCCTCTTACACCTTTCACATGAAAGTGATCTACAAGGGGACCCGATGAGAAGGTGGTGCTCACTAGCTAAACGAATACGTAACAGGTGATACTGTGCGGCAGTCAAGCGCTGACTCCACCCTCACCCCTCCACTGCCTACACAGCTGACGAGCTGCCGCTCCCCAGCGTCGGGCTTCCGGGCAGGCCTGCCTCGTCAAGAGAGCTCCGCAGGGACCTCTGGTTGCCCCTGCCTTGGCCCCTGCAAGCATCCAGCAACAGTGGAACTGCTGTTTGGTACGGGCTACCTGCTGTTCTACGCGCCAGCATGCGGCAGGCGGGCCAGCCTGCAGCTCACCTGAGCAGGGGGAAGCTGGGGCTGGCACGCCCGCTGCCGCCGCCGCCGCCACCCGCCACCCTGGCCAGCACGTGGCGTGCCCTCTGCTCCGCTGCCGGCCCGTGGCGAGCGTGGTGCGAGGACCAGGCGCTGCGCACCAGAGCGCCAAACACCGCCGCCAGCAGGAAGGCCCAGGCCGCCAGCGCGCCGTACAGCATGCCGCGCGTGAGGTCGGAGCGCGCCCCTCTGCTGCCGCCGTCGCCGCCGTCCTCGCCCTCGCCAGGCAGCCTAGAGGCGTGCAGCGCATGGAGCGCATGCCACTCCTCTCCCTTCCCTGCCCCTGCCCCATGCTGTCGCTGCCGCTGCTGCCGCTGCTGCTCTCCGCTGGCCTCGCCGCCGCTGGCTGCGTCGGCGGAGGCAAAGGAGCGCTGCGGGCGGCCCGTGGGCAGGCGGCACAGCCCGCAGCTCTCCCGGCAGTGCCAGTGCATGAAGCGAGGGTCCTGCCAGCACAGCTCCTGCTGAGCCCAGGCGCGGCACTCAGCAGGCTTCCTGCGCCAGGCAGGCAGGAGGCGGGGCCCGTAGGTCAGCCCCGACCCCTGCATAACTCCTGCCGCCAGGACCGGCGGCCGCCAAGCGTGTTTAATGGTGTTGGGCCACCCCAGTTAACTTTGTGTAGAATGCCATGGACAGCCAGAGGCAGCAGCAGCAGCAGCAGCAGCAGCAGCAGCAGCAGCAGGAGCAGCAGTGGTGGGCATGCCGCCTGCCACCCCAGTGGGGCTACCCACATGTCTTTGCAGATGGGCTCCGAGTCGGGCGGCCCGCCGAGCTCCACCGCCTCAATGGCAGCATCCACATCCCGCTCCAGCTGCTGCGCCTGCACCACCAGACAGCAGAGAGCTGGCGAGCTGGCTACGCCAGGCGGCCCCCTTCCTCAGCAGCACCAGCAGCATGGGGCTGGGCGGCAGCCACGGCAACCAAGCCGCCTACCAGCTCACCCACCCACCCACCCCCTCCCCCGCTCGCCTTGCTGCACTCCCTCTTCAGCTCCTCGCTGGCGGGGCAGTTGACCAGGTGGCGCTCGCACAGGGCGGCGTTGACGGTGGCGATGACGGAGATGGACAGCAACTCCTTGTACCGCTCTGTGGCCGGCTGCAGGCAGACAGGGCAGGCAGGGCAGCAGGGCAGCAGGGAGACAGGCGTCAGGGAGGACTGTCAGGCGGGCTCTGATTTGGGAGAGCGGCTGTGATTCAGGGCTACGAGACGCAGGAGATCACTGCATCCCAGAGGTGTCTGCCCAGCCAGCTGCTCACCAGGCCTTGGAACTCAGAGGGGTGGGGCGGGTGCGGAAACAGGCCGCCGGCGATGCCGGCCGAGTCGCCCTTGCCTGCCAGCGGCCTGCTCATGTGGGGCCACGGCGGGCACTGTAGCCAGGCGGGCAGGCAAGCATGCCGCGGTTATTTGCTCAACTCTGAACACCCTGAGTGCAGGCCGACAGCCACCCGCTGTGCAGCCCGGCCAGGACAGCCCCACCGCCCGCCTGCGGCACCACACCTGCAGGGCCCTGAAGTGGAAGAACCAGTGCTTCTGGAACTGCCAGCTGGGCCCCACCTCCCACAGGCGGCCGTAGTGCAGGATGACGGGCTTGTCTGCGGCAGCGGCGGCAGGTGCCGCCTGCTCAGACACCCAGGCAGAGGCCACAGGCCGGCTGGGCAGCGGCTGCACACCCCCTGTCCCCTCATGCCATCGCCCTTCCTGCCCCTCCCACCACCTTACTCGCTCATACACAAAACACAAGACATGCCCCATACACCCACCGTAGGTACCACGCCCCATGGGGGGGTACCACGCCCCCATGCACACACAAAGGCACCCACCATAGGCTGTGTACCCCGGGTAGAGCTGCGCCATGAGGTCCACGCGGTGCCACACCCCCGCCACCGCCGCCCCAAAGCTGTAGCCGTACATCTCGGCAATCCACGGCTTGCGCCCCGGCTGCTGCGCCCACTCGTCCCCCGTCTCGTTGTAGGCCATGGGGTCATCCCGCACCAGCTGCATGGGCATTTCAGCACTGTAGGTCGGTTGATACGGGTGGGGAGACTGGGCAGGAACGGAGATGGGGCTGCAGGGCGGCTGGAGAGAAGCATGGTGCCGCACGGGTGGTGGCAGCTGCAGCGGCGGGCCCTGCCCCGCACCTCGCTGTAGTGCAGCCACATGGGGGCCATGGAGGCCAGGTCGTCTCGGTGCATCAGCACCACGCCGCTGACCTGGTCGCCGCGCCGCCCTCGGGGCCCCTGCACTCCCAACACACCACGCACGCACAATTGCCGGCAAACGTCTCCAAGCAAGAGTGGGGCATCCACCCCAGCGTGCGCCTTGCGAAGCGGACAGCGGCACAAACTGCGGCACATGCTGCGGTGGTCCAGCAGGCTGCGGCTGCCGGGGCGCGCCAGCATCCCACCCACCCACCCGCCAGCGCATCCTCCCGTGGCGGGATCTCAGGGATGTGTGTGGCAGACAGGTTGTTGTCCACGCCCTGCATGTAGCCAAAATACACGCTGACCGCCCAGCCCCGCTCTGCACGGGCACAAGCAGGGTGCGGCGCCTCAGCATGGGCGGCAAGCGGTAGGGTTTGGTCTGATGAAGCAGGGAGGAGGGTAGCGCCGGGACGTCGGCGGCGCACTCTGGGAGCGCAGCAGCCGCAGCACCCCTGCACGCCTGCTGCCGCTGCTGGTTGGCCTCTTGGCCCCGCAGCTGGGCGCAGGTGGGGTAGGCACGCTGTGCCATGCGGCCCCATGCGCTGCCATGGCGTGCGCCCCACCTGCGCCGTACACGCGCCCCCAGTCTGCAAAGTTGTCCCGGATGATCATGTCTGGGTCGATGACCAGCACCCAGTCCTCCTTGGGCGGCGCCTGGCAGGGAGGCGGCAGGGAGGGACGCACGCAGGCACGCTCAGCAGCAGCAACAGCGCCAGCCCGGCTTGCCCTTCAAACAAGACAGCCGGCGATGCCCGAAGTTGCCACCGTGCAGCACAGGCTGCCCCACCTCCTGCAGCCAGTGCGCGATGGCAGCTGGCTTATTATACGCGAGGTAAGTATCATTATTATGGGGGTTGAAGGTCCAGCTGGGCGCCACGTGCGTCGGCACCAGGCCCAGGTTAGGGTAGCTGGCCAGCGACTCTTCGCTGCAGGTGAGCAGCCTGCATGGGCACAGGAATGCGCAAGGGCGATACGGTGCTGCCGTCGGGGAGGCGGCTATGGAGGCAGCATGGGCGCAGCAGGCCGCTACCAAGCACCGCACGATGAGATATGTGTGGCCGTGCCGTGCGTGGCAGGCCGTGCGTCAAGGACCTTCCCCGCCCACCAACCTTGTGATGGGCCCAGCCACGCCCGCCTTGCGGTGCGAGTAGACCACGGCGATGCTCTGCCAGTCCATGTAGTCGCTGCAAGTGGCATGGAGTCGAGGCAGCGCAGGATGGTGAGAGGTGGTTGCCGCAAACCGGCGGTTGCACCACGCACGGGAGCGGCATGGTGCGATTTGCGCCCCAGCTTGGGCTGGCACGTGCGAATCCAGCAAGCTTCGTGGCCTGAACCCCTGGCCGCGCATACTCACTTGCACTCGGCTACAAAGACGGTGTGTGGGGCGCTCAGGCCGCTGCGAGCGGTGGGCGCCGCCGCCGACGCAGCCAGCGACAGCAGCAGTGGCGCCAGGGCGCGCCACAGCAGCTGGCTTCTGTGAAATCCCGTGGGCCGCATGCTGGTCGGTTTCAGCACCAGTCGGTGTCGGCACGCAGCCGGGGTGATGCGAATCTGGCGAAGGAACCTGACAATGCCGCGATGTTTCGGGTCCAGCAGGTTTCCGGTGGCCGACGGGGTGCCAAAGAAGCCGCGGGGGGCACGGTCTGGCAATTCTTGGTCTCGGTCAATGGGTCTGGTATTGCAGAGCTCGCTGGTGAATTGAATGAATGGAACTAAGCATAGAAATGCGGTGCACATGCGCAGCCGGTGGGACTTTGCCGAAATGGCACATGCCGCACTACAGGTTGCAGTACTCTTGAGACGCTCAGAAGGCTGCAGCAACACCAGAGATACCCGCGTAATCTCCTTCTAATCTTCTTCTTCTTCTACCCACCCACAGCAATTCAGGCCACCGCCAGGCAGCAAGCAAGGCGCAGTGCTGGCTGCCCCTCGTGAACCTCCGCCTTGTGCACGCAAGGACGGGCGCCTCTCACGCTTGCAGTGGCAATATAGAAGACGCCTGACGGCACATTGGCCCGTGTCAGGCTAGTGAACCATACCCTGGCGGCGGCGGCACGTCCCGGGTGCAGGCCACCCTCCGCCAGAGCCATGCACGGCCTGGTGCTGGCGCTGCTGCTGCTCGCGGCCTGGATGCCGGCGGCCTCAGCTGCGCACTACGTTGTGTGCACGGCTGACAACCCGCCCATGTGCGTGCGCTGCCCTTGCCGCTGTGTGCCGCCACCGCTGTGGGCCCTGCCCGCTGCTGCCGTCGCCCCACACTCCGCTGCTGCAGTGCTGATCTGCTTGCACCTCTTCTTGTTGCGCCCCTTGCATCTGCATTGGGCGCAGGTCTACCTGCAACATCACTGCCAACCCGTCCACCTATTCTGGCTTCGATGTCGAGCTGTTCCGAAGTGCTGCACAGCTGATGGGGTGGACGGAGAGCGAGGGGGGCGAGGGTGCGCTGCTTCCGCCGCGGTCCTCCTGATGGCATGCAGCAGCTCGGTTGCCCCTGCTTGCCGTTCCAATTTTCAAGCTGCCACATCGAGTTGCGTGCACCTTCCCACACACCACTCGGCCTCCACCACCTACCCATCACACTGCCACTCCTCCGCTGCCCCTGGTGCGCAGCCAGCAACGCCTCCCAGCCCCAAGGCGGCGACACCTTTGAGCTTGTGTGCCGCCCCTTCTCCGACGTGGTCGCCGACCTGACCGCCCCCGGCGGCACCTGCACGCTGGCGGCCGCCGGCATCACCATCAGCAGCGAGCGGGAGGACAGGGGGATCAAGTTCTCCTTCCCCACCTACCACTCCTCGTTGGCCATCATGGTGTATGCCGAGGAGAAGCAGGACACCGGCTGGTTCTTCCTGCGCCCCTTTGACTGGACAGGTGGGCGTGCCGTGGAGGGCAGGCGGGGCGGGCAGGCAAGGCGCAGCGGCAGCCCGCCAGCCCACTCAAGCTGCCTGACCCTCCGCCAATGGCCGCTGCAGTGTGGCTGGCCATCGCTCTGACGGTGGCGGCCATCCCCGCCATTACGTTTGTCACTGAGTTCATATCAATAGAGGTGTGGCGACTGCTCGAGGCTCCGGAGCGCTGAAAGGGAGCCTGCCATCAGCTTGTTTGGCATGCTGTTGGGAGGCTGCTGCCAGCGGCGGCAACCATGCATGCATGCATGCCCGGCCGCTTGGTGCTGTGCAGGGCAGGATACAGCAGCGAGACGTGGTGCCGGGCATGAAGGAGGCCTCTTGGAGGAGCTTGTGGACAATGATGCTGCTGGTGCGCTGCCTGATGGTGCAGCTGGTTGCGTTACCAAGAGTCACCTTTGCACAAGGGTGTGCAGCTGGCTGAGGCAGCGCCGCCACTGCGGGCTGGCCCCCTTCCCTGCTGTCGCCCCTGCTGCAGGAGCCGTTCCAGGTCACGGCCATCTCCTCCCGCGTCATTGCAGTCATTTACGGCTTCCTGGCCACGGTGCTGGTCAACACATGTGCGCACGTATGCCTGACGCTCCCACACCTCTAATGCTGCAATGGGTTTGGGCTAGCCGTGCTCCATGCTGCTGCTCGCGCTGCCATTCTCCCTCTATGCGCAGACTGCGCCAACCTGACGGCGGCGCTGACGGTGAGCCAGCTGGCGACTAGCATCCAGAGCGTGGAAGACCTGCGAGGCAAGGCGGTCGGCACCGTGGCTGTCTACGTGTCACGCCTGGCCAAGCTGGGCATTGCAGCGGCAGAGATCCCCTTTGACGTGAGCCGTGCCCATGAGCAATCCCACCGCTGCTGGAAGTGGAGAGCGGCAGAGCAGCCGGGGCAGGGCAGCCGGGCATGGCAGCAGCTGGCCCAAGGCATGATGTGTTTGCTGCACAGGACCTGTTTTGTTCTGGGGACGCCGCCACCCCCATGATTCCCTCCTTGTTCTCTCCCTGCAGAGCATCGAGTCGGCGCTGAACGTCTGGGTGCCCATGCTGCAGCAGGGGACGCTTGTGGCCACGGCAGTGGATGAGCCGATCCAGCAGTTTGTGGCGGCGCTGGGCGGGTGCAGCCTGCGCCTGGTCGACACCTTTGCACCGTTTGATTTCGGCGCCGCATTCAGGGTAGGCACCAACCAATCCTTCATTGATGCCCTGGACGACAAGCTGCTGGTGCTCCAGGAGGACGGTACGGCTGAGGAGCTGCGCACGACATTCATCGCCATCCCCCGCACCGAGTGCGCCAGCAACGTGGATGAGAGCACGTCCATCACCTTCAGCCAGGTTGCAGGTGGTTGGATGGGCGGCTGCGTGTACAGAGCGTGGGTGCGGGAACTGTGAACTCCTGTGCTCCTGCTGTCCTGGGCGCTGCCGGGCCGGACATGGCTGTGTTGGTGGGCAGCAGAGCGGCCCGTCATGCCAGGAGCGAGTCCTCCCCTACGTATATGCAGGCCTGTGGATCGTGCTGGCTGCTGGGGTTGGCCTGGCGCTGATCTGGCTGCTGGGCTTGCGGCTATGGGTCAGCCGCCAGCACCGTGCGGCCGTGGCCGCCGCCAGCACTGCACCGGACAGGAAGCTGGGAGAAAAAGCAGGAAGCGCCACCAGGCGCCATGCCCTGCAGCAACAGTCCTCTAGGCGCCACTCGTTTAAGGCGGGCGTGGCCTTCCGCCAGACCGTGTCCATCTACGGCGCCCAGGTGCGGACACTGGGGCCATTGCCAGCTGGCTCTGGCACACAAACACTCATCCTTGTACTGCAGCCCTCAGGCCGCTGCTGTCTGCCGGCAAGCGCTCTTTGCCTGCGCTCACATGCAGATTGCCGCTGCACGGCGGGACCTCGAGGCTGCTGCGCTGGAAGAGGCCGGAAGGGCTGGTAGCGGCCTGACCTTGGATGGTAGCGGCTCGGCGCCGGCGGCTGGGCACGAGGCCCCCGGCAGCCCGATGGCACGGGTCCTGCCTGAGGACCAAAGCGTGGCGCAGCTGCTGGCGCATGTGCGCCAGCTGTGCGACAGGATGGAAGCGCATGCCGAGACTTCCTACATGGAAGGCGGGCAGCGCATTGTGGATGAGCGCATAGAGGAGGTGCCCGAGCTGGACTGAGCTCAGCTGAATGCTGTCCTTCGTGTAGGTAACAAGTGTTGCGATGCTGAGCGCCACACAGCACTCCTCCACTGCTACTTCTCCTTTATGTTTATTCAGTGAACGTGTATGCCTCTACTGATCAGCCTACTTTGTTCGTATCACTTCACCGTGAAAAACCGTGCACGTGCAGCGTTTGGCAGCGGCGGGACGCGGGAGCGGGACATGGCGGCAGGAATTGTCGCATGGGGCATCACCATTATCACCATCTGTTCGTTGCAGGACAGGGATCGGCAGCTTTTGAACACGGTTCAGCCACGCCTATCCCGCGATCATGGCGCAGCAGCATGGAGCGCAGCCACAGGCGCCGCAACAGCAGCAGCTCTACCCTCCACCACCGCCCTTCTACCGCCTCTACCGCGCCGATGCCGACGGCAGCGCGGAGCGCCCACTGCCGCCGCTGCCGCCGCCCGCCGTCACCGGCGAATACCAGCAGTTTGGCATCGCCGACTCGGTGCGCCTGCCTGCTGCCTCGCTGGCTGGCTGTGCTTGAATCCAGTCCCGCACTGGCTGGGTGTCGTCCCCGCCAGTTCCAAGCAATGCTGTCATCCGGTTGTTCCGCCTATGCCGGCCCAGCCACTCACCCACCACTGAACCGCTGCCGATGCGTGCAGACAGAGGTAGTGCTGCCGCCGCTGACAGGCAGGCAGCTGTATGAGGTGAAGCCCGACGGCAGCATCGGTAAGCCCTCGCTCATGTGCGGGCTTGTGCACGACCACCCAGCGGAGGGTCTTGCTGCGGCTGGCGCCGCTATGCCGAGCTGCGCACACGGGCCTGCCGCTGCTGGTTTCGCTCACATGCATGCCTGCTGCCCACTTCCCATTGCTGCCCGGCCTAAGCAGACTTCAAGGGCGAGCTGCTGGCGCTGCACCGGGAGCTGGCAGCCAACCTGGTGGAGCTGCTGAGCGTGCTAGTGGAGAAGCCCAGCCTATGGGCGCGCCAGGCTCGCGTGGCGGCTGCTGTTGGGGGTCTTGTCACTGTGTTATCACTGTGTGTGACACAGTGTTAACAGCCCCTGTCTGTCTGTTTTGCTGGAAAGCGCCAGCTGCTCGTCCTCTGGGGCCCGGGCCTCTGCCCAGCGCTGGCTGGTTGGCAGGCCTGCCCGCTCACTGCGCCCGTCTGCGTGCGCTGCCTTCCGCCCGCAGGTGGAGAACACGTCGGCGGTGCTGCGCAACATGCAGCAGCTGTGCAACCTGATGCGTCCGGTGCAGGCGCGGCACACGCTGCTGCACACGCTTGGCGCGGAGGTGGAGGAGCGGCGGCGCGCGGCGCAGGAGCTCAGGTGCGGCGCATGGCCGGCTTCCTCACAGCAGCCCCGGCTGGGTGTGTGTGCTCCTCCCTTCCGCTCCTGTGGTGCCGTAGCGTGGTCCTCGTGTGACCGCTGGGCAGCCCCATCTGCCCTGCACACCCACCCAGCGCCCGCACGCACCACCTGGCTCGTGCCTGCCGGCGCAGAGACAGGGTGGCGCAGGCGGATGCGGCTCTTTCAGGCAGCGCCGAGCAGCTGGCAGCGGCGGCGGCTGCGCTGCGCCAAGCGGCAGAGGAGGGCATGGCGGCCAATGGTGGCAGCTAGGAGAGCAGACCGCACACAGGTGGCAGTAGCTCAGAGTCATGCAAATGCGTTGCCTGTTTTACACGTGTGGTGGGTGAAGTCTGAAGATATGAACTGGAGTGGCTGGGAGGGGAAGCAGAAGCAAGAGCAGAGCGCAGTAGATACAAGAGCGGGAGGAACAAGAAGCACTGGGAATCAACCAGCGCTCGTGCTGGGTGTGAACTGTGATCTAAGGGGGCAGGGGCTAGATGATTCTGAACCAGTCAAGTCGGCGAGGGCTGGCTGCGCGAGGCGAAGAAGCGCTTGAGGGTGCCCTGCCTCAGGCCCGCGCCGCTGCCGGGCGCCCGCCTCTTGCCGCCGCTACCGCCGCTGTTGGTGCCGCTGTTCCTGGCCTGGATGGCCGCCAGGATCCGCTGCTGCTCGGCGACGTCCACGGCCGCCAGATCAACCTCAACGGCGCACGCCTCCCCTGCTGCCCCTCCTGCCGCTGCGCCTGGTGATGCAGCCCCGCGCGCTGCGGGCGTCGTGCCGAGGGCGGCTGCCACGGCTGCGCCGCTGCCGCCGCCACCGCTGCGGCGCGCTGGTGTAGAGCCGCTGGCCGGGCTGCCGCGTCCGGCTCGCTCCGCGCCGCCGCTGCTGCTGCTGCTGTTGCCCGCGGCGCGCTCGCCCTCCAGGCTGCGGCCGCCGCCGTCGCTGCCGCCGCTGCTGCTGCCCATCGCCGGCTGGCCGCCACCAGCTCCCCCGACCGCCTCCGCCACCTCCGCTCCCGCCTCCGCCCCTCCCTCCGCCGCTGCCGCCTGCTCCTCGCCGACGGGCGCCTGCTGCGGCTGGCGGCGCAGGTAGCAGTCGAGGCGGGAGCGGTCGGCAGACAGGTCCATTAGGTCAGCAAAGCGGTCCACGACGGCGCGGCTGGCGGCGGCGTCGGCGGCGTCGACGGTGGGGATGAGGCGGCGCGGCCGCAGCGCGCGCACGCACTCCCTGCGAAGGGTCGGGCGGCAGGCGGGGCGGCGGATGGGTGGGCACGCGAGGGTGCCACCAGCATGCGCTGCCGGCCGCACGCAGCCGCATGCTGTCAGCAGTTGGTCAGTCGGTACACGGCCGCGGCATCGGCGAGCAGCTGGCCGGCGGTGGCGGCAGGGCGCAGGCCCGCGGCTTTGCAGGCGGGCTCGACGGGCACGTCATGCGCGCCGTGCTTGCCTGAGCTCCGTGTAGCTACTGTGCTCAGAGTAAGGGATGCCCAGGACGGTGACGCACCCTTCGGTGCGCACATCCAGCCCGCCCTTGGGCCGCCACGACCACCCTGCAGGCACGGCAGCACCGGCAAGCATGCTTGCATGCAAGCAAACCGCCCCGCGCCTGCACGCCAGGCCGGGGCGGCCAGCAAGAAGCGGCGGTGGCAGGCAGGCACGCACCGGTGGGCCGGATGGCCACCGCGCGCTGCCAGCGTGTGCCGGCGATGCGGTCGGCCAGCGCCTGCGGGTGCAGCTGCTCGCCCATGCCCAAGACGTGGATCTGAGGGAGGCGGGAGGGGGCAAGGCACGAGGCGCGAGTCACAACCAGCCGACAGACAAGCGCGAGCGAGGTCCCGGCGACACCGTGAGGCCGGGCAGCAGCAGCGGCAGGGCCAGCCAGCGCCCCACCTGCGCCTCCTCCGCCACATCGGTCAGCAGGGCCAGCCACGCTGCCGGCAGCCCCAGCATATGCAGCAGCTGCAGCAGCGGCGGCAGCGCCAGAGTTGATATGGAGAGACAGGTGATGTCGGCAACTGGCAGCAGCTGAGCCAAGCGCTCAGCGGTGGGCAGGGGCAGCAGCATGGACAGTGTGGCCCACCCTGCGCTTGGCGGGGCTGCAGTGCACGCGCCAGCCCAGGGCGGCGCCGGCCCCCAGGTACGCCCTTTCCTTGCCAATATGGTAGCTGCCCACCACAAACAGCACGGCGCCTGCGGTGGGGCAGGGCGGTACAGGCAGGTGGTACAGCATGTTGTCAGCAGCTGCCTCTGGATCGTGTGTGCCGCGCAGCTTGTGCAGCAGCTCTCGCAGGCCTGATCGCATCCCATCCCTCGCCCGGCTGTGCTAGGCTCCCATGCAGCACGAGCCACGCACTGCCAGCAATCTGCCTCCAACAACGTTGCTACAGGCCTCACCCGGCGGCCCCGCAGCCGCTTCCCTCGCCATGGCCTGCACCATGAGCTCCACGACTTCCTCCTGTGGCGGGAAGGTCCACTTGCGCTGGCTGTAGGTTGTGTCCAGCATGAGCACGTCCACCTGGCGCCCCGTCAGCGCGGCGTGCTGCGCCATGCCGGCCTGCCACCTCACGTCCCCGGTGTGCAGGATGGTGGTGGGCGCCTGCGAGCCAAGCAGATTGGCAGCAGGGGCCATTAGGGGTGGCATCAGCAGCATGAGCAGGGTGGCTCAACCGCCGCCGGTATGTCAAGTACAGCAACGGAGGGTAGCCAAGCTGTGCTGCCGCCGATGCGGCGGCACTTGCAAGGCAGCCCCGCGCCTGCTTCTTGCTGCCAGGTGGAGGTGGCACTCGAAACAGGAACATGACGGCGCCGGGGCAGTGGTTGGCGTCTATGGGGACCACCTCGACCTGCGGTACCAGAGGCACGTGCCCCAGGGGCCAGCCTGAGCAAGACAAGGTGTCGCAGCCCAGCTCGTGCGTCCGCCGGCTGCCGCAGCAGGCTCAGGACAAACAGCAGCAGCGCCGCGCAGGCGGCCACGGCGGGTGCGCGGCCAGGCCAGGCGCATCCCGGTCGCCACGCCGCGCGCCCACCCCGCAGATGGTGGTGGGCAGGTCGAGCGGCAGGATGCGGATCAGGTCTGGGCGGATGCCCATGTCGCAGCGCAGCAGGCGGGCGGTGATGGGGGAGCAGTAGATGGGGCCTGCGGTGCCAGGGGGGCGGGGCCGGGCAGGCTGGTAAAGGCAGCGCGCAGCCACTCAACTTCAGCACAGCTGGCGGCAGGTCGGCTGGACGCGGGCAGCCCTCCCCGGGCGGGCTCACCCGCGCTGAAGCTCCGGCTCAGGCCCGTGGTGTGGTCGGAGTGCATGTGTGTGAGGAAGAAAGCGCGACAAGCGGGGTGCTGGAACCGGAAGCCGTCCACAAGGAAGGGGGTGCCGGGCACCCACTTGATCGCCTCCACCTGGCTGGCCATGCCTGCCTGTGCTGCTGCTGCTGCTGCTGCTGCAAACTCTGACCCTGGCGTGTGGTGCGGGCGCTGCGGCTGGCGGCGCGCCGCGGGGCTACTGCCGTGGGGGGCGTGCCTCACATGGCGTCGCCTGCAGCAGCAGTAGCACACAGCAGCAGCGACGTGCATGGACAGGTGTGTCTGCACGGTCTGGCAGCGGACCAAAACGGGCCGCTCACGCACCATCGCCGTCCTCGATGTCTGTATCCCCCTCCTCCTCGTCCACCTCCTCCTCTTCCTCCTCAGTCAGCTCTGCACTCGCAAGGACACAGATAAGGAGGCAAGCTGAGGAGGCCGCCGGGATGCAGCTTGACAACAACACTCCTCGGCATGGGTGAGAGCTGGTGGTGCTCTTAGCATGCCAACACCCAGCAAAACCGATACAGGATCCCAGCTGCGAGGACGCCGTCCCAGTCGAAGGATGGGAACTCCCGTGCAGGTAAAGAGGCAGGCGGCAGCGTCAGAGCAGGCGGTGGCCGCCACCCGCCTTCGTCCGACGTCAGGCCCTCCTCCTGCTCGGACTCCAGCTCCTCATGTGCCGCTATCACGCCCAGCGGCTCCGCGTTCTTGTTGTACTCGCGGACTTGGGCCAGCTGCAGGGGCGAAGGGGGCGAGGTGATCGGGCAGCCCTGTCGTGCAGGCACCTGCACAGCGCTGTTCTCCGTCAGCGCACCTCCTGGGTGATCTTGGCCTCCTGCGCCACGATTATGGCCACCTCGTCGGGCTCAGTGGCCAGCTGCTCAAGCGTGGGAGGCGCAAAGGAGGGCACCACGAAGAAAGAGGACATCGCTAAGGCCCGGGATGTGATTGCTGGCACGAGAGAGGGGCTCCTTCTCGCAATTTGCAATGCGCCGGCAGAGCCAGGCGGGCGGTGGCAGGCGCCAGGTGTTGGGAAGCCCTCTACTCACCTCCCCATGCTAACTACGCACCTCTAGGACTGTCAATCGGCCAATGGGCACCCCCCAGGACTGGCCGGCGGCGCTTTCCCGGCTTGAAGCCGTGCTGGATAGGGGCCCGCTGCGCGGCGGGGGACCGGCCTACGATGACTTGATTGATGAAGCACTGGAAATGATGGAAGACACCAAAAGACTGGTGGAAACGAGCGATGAGGGCGTCCGCAAGAGGTTTGCAAAGTGAGGCGGAGGGTTGCTTGGGGCCTGCCAGGCAGTGCCTTGAGCTCAGTCGGATCCTGCTGATGGGTTGTGGGCAACCGGCTTCCCGCCGCCCGCCACCGCCGCTGCAGGTCGGTGTACGCGGCGGGGCAGCAGTGTCAGCAGCTGGAGACTACACTAATGGCCGCAGCTGCAAGGCGACTGCTCTCGGCCTTCAACGCCGTGGAGGCCGCCTTGGTGTCGGCTACTGTATGCCTGCAGATGAGCTTCAAGTGCAAGCTGGATGATGAGAGGAGCCTCAATCGGATGGCCACCGGAACCCTGGCGCTCGTCCTGGGTGCCGGGCAGCGCCTGCTGCTAGAGCTGGAGGCCAGCCCAGCCACCAACACCGGCCTGCCGATGACATTTGTCACGCTGAACACACAGATGCGGACTGTGTGTGGCCTCGTCAGGCTACTGCAGCGGCCTTGGGGCAGCGGCGCAGCAGCCACCTGCGCCGCCGTCTGCGCCGCCGTGGCGCAGCCTGCGCCGCTGCTGGCGTGGGTGGCTACCACGGGCCGCATGATTGCGCGGATGCAGGCGACCGTGTTGACAGGCAGGTGCCGCCAGCCAGCCACCCTCCTGTGGCAGCCCTGATGTACACGTGGGGCCTTAGAGGGCTGGGCTCTCCCGCGCTGCTCTTCTTGTGCATCGCGACGCCTCTCTCCCCACATTGCTTACCCCACTTCTGCCCCCGGACTGCCGCGCCGTCTGGCTTGCAGGATGCAACGCAGAGACAGAGGCGCGCCGCAGGGTTATAGGAGGCATCGTGTGGGATGTGGGCGTGGAATATGTGGAGGTGCTCTCACGCACCTTGGCCGCCCCTCACCGGGCCGCTTTCGCGCCCCACCAGCTGGCCCTGGCGGCAGACGTGGAGCTGCAGCTGCGCCTGCTGGCGCCGGTGCTGGGCGTGCTGGACAGCGTGGTGCTGCAGCTTGGCGGCACCACCGATGCCGGCAGGCTGGCGGCAGCCTGTGGCGGGCCTTCCAGCGGTGGCAGCAGCAGCGGCGGCGATGAGAGCAGCAGCCCCGCCAGCATTCTGTGGACCACGCTTTACGGCGCATTGCGCTTGATAGATGGGCCCGCGCTGGAGCCTGCGGTTGAGCGCCGGCTGGCGGCCCCTTCATTTGGGGTGCGGCTGCTGGGGCAGGCAGCGGCGGCACAGCGCCTGCTGCTGGCATCTGCTGACCAGGCGGCTGTTGACGTGCGCGTTGCAGCCTGCGCCGCGGCTGCCCGGCTGGCCTGCAGAGTGGCTCAGCAGCTGCTGGCGAATCATATCGCCAGGCAGCAGGCGGCCGCCGAGGCGCCCGGCGCTTGCATCTCGGACCCTCAGCTGATGCCGGCTGCGGCGGCAATGCTCCAGTTCGTGCCCGCTGCAGCTGCTGCATTTCGGATGGCGGCCAGCGAGGAGGCGCAGCAGGGTGGAGCAGACCCGCCAGAGGCTGATACGTGGGGGCTGTGTGTGTGGCTGGCAGCAGCCATCAACCTTCCGCTGGCCTGCGAGCCCGCCGCCGTCCTGTCCGATTGCAGCAGCAGGTTGGCAGCCTGGTGCGCGGCGGCCGACGCGGGCCTGCGGCTGCTGCCGCTGCTGGTGCGGCTGCAGCTGGGCTGGCAGCAGCGCCCTTCTTCCGGCCCTCCGGTGCCCAGCGAGCCGGGGGTGCCGCCACCTGGCGCCCTGCTGGCGCGTGTCCTTCTCAAGCTGTGGGCCGTGTACCTCCCGCCGGTCTCCGATGCTCTGACCATCCACACCGAAACCTCGCTTGGGGCGGTGGAAACGGCCCGCACGATGGCGCAGCCGCTGTCCCAGCTCCACGCCACCGTGTGCCGCCTCGTGCACTGGGCGGCGGCGCTGGATGCGGAGGAGGCGGCGGTGGTTCCCGACCTCGCGGCCTGGCGCTGGCTGGCCTCAGCCGTGCACATTTCCTTCAAGGAGGCGTTTGAATTGAACCGAGCCCTGATCGACACAGGACAAAGGTGCGCGCAGGCGATGGGCGGAGTGCGTGGCGGGCCGTGCATGTGGGTGGGGGTCCAGCGCCCACGGTTGTGCTGCGCTGCGCTGATCCGCGCTGGCCTCGCCGGCACGCAGGCGTATGGCGGCGATGTCGTCGGCGCACGCACGGGCGCTGGCGGTAGTGGCCAGCAGGGCGGGGCTGCAGCTGGACCAAGCCGAGGGGGGCAGCCGGCTGGAGCTGATGTACATCGTCGCCGCCTCCAGCTGCCTGCCCTCGCAGCTGGACGCCCAGATCCTTGCAGGCTTCGACGCCTGCACCAGGCAGTACTGGCAGGTGGGCGCCCCTCGGAGCTCCTCCGGCCCCTGCCGCCTCCCATTCGCGTCGTGCATGCCCACCACCTCCCGAGCCAAGCGGCGGCGGCGTCGGCGGCGGCAGACGGTTTGTTGCCGCGCCACGTCGCGCTGCCTGCTGTGGCTGACCCGGCTCAACGTCATTCCTGCCCCTCCTGCAGCAGGAGGCAGGCAGCATCGACTTCCAAGCGGAGCGGGTGCACACGTCGATATGGGATGGCGAGGACTGGCCGCGCTTTGCAGCCCTGCTGCTCACCGGCGGCCTGCTGGCAGATGGGCTGGCCGTGGTGGAGGCATCCTGCCTGCGCTGCAACGACACCCCGCTGCCATCCATTGTGAGAGTTTCCGCTGAGGGCGAGGGTGCTGGGGTGGTGGTTGCGACGAGCCCTTGGGGAGGTGGCACGCTTGGGGAGATGAGCAGCCGCCCTGCCCATGGTGTGTGGTGTCCCAAGCCCCTGAACTGCGCCCGCTTCTCCCCGGCTGCCCGCTGCGCCTGCAGTTCCGGCAGCTGATGACCACTGTGTATGTGATTTGCTACAACTTGGGCCAGGCGGCAGCTCGGGAGCTGCTCAAGCTGGCGCCGCACTTGCGCAGCGGCAGCGCCACGATGCAAATGTGCGCGCACCACGCCGCTATCGCCGGTTACCAGGAGGCGCTCCAGCGCGCGCTGGATGTCCCAGACGGCATGCAGCCGCCCGCCACCCTGGCCTCGCTGCGCCGCTGCCAGCACGTCTTTGTGCCGGCGGCGGCGGCCCTGGCGGCGGCGCTGACAGCCTTCTGGAGTGAGCCTGAGCAGCAGGCGGCGGCCCAGCTGGAGCAGGCGAAGGCGGCCGCCACCCGCAGCTGCGCCTACCTTGCCTGCGCCAACCTGGGGGCGGAGGGCGGCCCCGAGGCGGGCGAGGGCACCGGCAGCCACCGATGCGGTCAGTGTCGGACGGCCTGGTACTGCGGCACTACCTGCTCCCACGCCGACTGGCGGTCGGGCGGGCACCGGCGGGTGTGCAAGGCGCTGGCGGCGGCGAGGCAGGCGGCGCGTGCTGGTGTCGGCCACGAATGAGCGGTGGCGCTGCGTCCTTACGACTGGCCCCTCGCATGCCACGCCCTGTCTGTTGGTTCAGTGATAACTGATGCTCTGCCCCAGAGGCCGGATCCGACACAGCACCGCCCAAAGTCGGGAGCAGAACGCTCATGATGCAACCTAAGAAGGATCTGTCTGGCATCTTTTCATTGCCCTTGCACCAAGGCGACTCCTCAGCACCAGGGGTAGAAGTTGGGGAACAGCAGGCAGCCCAGGGCAATATAGGACAGGCACCACAGCCAGAGCAGTCGGGCACGGATGCTGCCGCCCGCTTCCGCCCACTCTGCCGCGTGCCAGTAGAGCGGCGGGCAGGCTGAGAGGAAGCGGGTGGCCACATTGACGTGCATGGCCAGCAGCGCCACTGCCGTCATCAGCGCCCAGTGGTAGACTAGTGGCGCTGCCTCGTTGCTGCGCTGCAGAACAGAGGCCGCCGCCGACTGCTGCGGCAAGCCTCGCCTCTTGCCGCCGCTGCGGCCGCGCAGGCGCGGCCGGGCTGCGGCGGCCCAGCGCTGCAGCGTGCCCTCCGCCGCCGCCAGCCAGGCGGGCGGCTTGTGGCGGCGGGTGTAGAGGCCTAGCGTGAGGGCCCGCCACCAGTCGGCCGCAAAGTAGGCCCAGCAGCCGCCGACAGACAGCCAGGCTACAGGCAGCGACATCAGCACCATCGGCAGCTGCAGGCAGGGAGAGGCACAGGCAGGCAGGGAGGCATGAAATCAGCTTGCAATGTAGGAGCCACGAAAGCACGCGCCCCAGGCTCAGGCACCCCAGGCTCAGGCATTTCCCTGATGGGGCGACAAGGCAGCGGACGCGCATGCCAGCCAGCCCGACAGCGCTGCCCACCCTGGCGGGGTCTCGGTAGAAGCGCAGCAGGCCCACATCCCAATACTCTCGTTGAATGAAAGCATACACGCTGGGGGGCCGAGCGGCGCACCAGGCGGGGGGCCCGCCCTCGCCGCCGGGCGGGCTGACCGTGCAGTGTGCCAGGTAGGCGTGGGCTGCAAGCACGGGTAAACCAAGTGCAATGCAATGACGTTCATGTTTCCTTTGCAGGACCGCTCCGGTGTGTGGGCCTGGCCGGCATGCTGCATGCACGAGCGGCCCAGCCCAGCGTACCTTGCATGGCGGCATAGGGCGCCAGGATGGCGCAGCAGCTGAGGGCCGCCCGCACAGCCTCGCGTGCCGGCAGGTGTCCCTGCCGCCGCGCGGCCGCCGCCAGCTTGTGCAGCGGGAACCAGGCTGCCAGGATGCCGTTGGAGCGAGCGGCGGCGGCCGCCGTCAGCGCCGCCACGCCTGCCCAGTGTCGGTCGGGCAGCAGCAGGAGGCCGGCCCAGGTGGCGGCGGCAAACAGGGCCTCCGAGTAGGCTGTCGAGTAGAAGACAGAGGCCGGGTTGAAGCAGAAGAGCAGCAGCGCCAGGTCAGCGGTGCGGCTGGCAGCGCCGCCAGCACCTCGCTTTGCGGCCCGCCCGCCGGCTCCCAGCACGCGCAGGCCCAGCCGGTGCAGGCACAGTGCCGCGGCGCAGAAGGCCGCGACGTTGACTACCAGCCCCGCCAGCAAATAGGCTGCCTCATCGGGCAGCAGGCCTTTCATGCCTGCAGGGCAGCATGTGTGGGCGGCTCAGCCAGAGGCAATGCAGCAGCGGATCCACCGAGCACAGCGGTGGATGTACCGCCAGGGATGCAGGCATGCCAGGATGCGGCCCAGGCAGCGCAGTATCGCCCAGCAGCGGGCAGCGCCAGCTGCTGTCAGCCCACGAGCGCCCACCTGCGGCGCCCGCCAGGCCGCGCATGGCGGCGGGCAGCAGCGGGAAGAAGGCGTTGAGCTTGTCTGTCTCGTACCCGCACCGCGCCACCCGCGCAAAGTAGACAGTGTCCCAGACCGCCACTCCCAGCAGGGGGGACGAGCCGCTGGGGGGGCCTGCACACAAGCAGCGGCGGGCTGGCAGTGGCTGTCGCCGTGCCGGCATCCAGCCCACCTGGGCTCGACATTCGCGTGGCAACCCCCTCATCACCTGCATCCATCGTTGCCGTGGCGCAGGGCCGGCCCTGCAGCCTGGCGGAGCTGTCCAGGTCGGAGAACGCCCAATCAGACAGCACCATGGTGGTCAGCACGGCTGCCCTGGATGCCAGCGCCAGCAGGATCACCCTGCCAGCCGGGGCGGGCATGGCTCAGGGCTGTAGCGCGGGGTGGAGCAGGCAAGCCCGTCACCAGCATCGCTTCTGGTCGCCCCGCATTGATTTTGAGCTTTCCAAGATGTCACAGTCTGATCAGGAGTACACACGGGCTGAAAATCGCAAAGGGAAGTGACGGTGCAGTCGCCACTGTGGCACCTAGTTGGCTTGAGCCTGCGGAGCCTTCTCAATTGGCGCAGCCGTCAACAACCATAGCCGGGCAGTGGAGGACACGCCTGCACACTGAGCTGCTGAGTCCCCCTGCAACCCCTTCGTTTCCAACCTCCACAACACTGCCCACCGAGGCCAGCTCGGGGCTTGCTCTCACCGTAGAGCTGCGGTTTCAGCAGTGAGGCGAACGCGGGCTGAATCACAACAGCCCACTGAAAGTTTGCCTACAAGCCCCGCCTGGGCGCGGCACTGGCGGCAAATGCTTGGCCTAGCATCCTAGAGGCGCTGGGGAGCGCCGAGGAGCCTGTTTGGGAGGACCCGCGGCAGCTGCCGCTCCCGCCGCCGCTGTCGCCCCTGCCGGTTGCAGCCCGCGGCGGCGCGATGGATATGCTGCGTGGCCGCAGCGCTGTGTCCCCGCAGGCCAGCACCGACCTGCCGCTGACGCATGCCAAGCCGTGGCGGCACGGGCGGCCGCCATTGCGGCACGGCCACTGCCACCCGCACAGCCACCAGCGGGGCGGGTGGCACTGCGGCGGCTGGGCTTCGCGCCGCGTCGTGCACCGCGTGCTGCTGGCGCTGCTGGCGCTGGTGGTGGTGACGCGGCTGGGCACACACCTGTTTGGCGGGCCGCAGCCGGATCTGGCAGACCTGATGCGCCTGAATGGAGACGGCCCCACCGTGCAGCCCGCAGCCTGGCGCCCTGATGCCGAGACCGCCGCCGCGCAGCAGCCCAAGCTCATCCCGCGAATCATACACCAGACCCACGCCGGCGGCGCGCTGCCGCCTCGCCTGCGCCAATACATGGCCAGCTGGCGCCAGCTCAACCCCGGATGGGAGGTCCGCCTGTACACGGACCAGGTGAGGCAGGGGCGGGCGGGCCGGCAGCTCGGCGCCTCGCTCTTCGCGGCCTTGCCAGCCAAGGATTGGCAGCAGCACAGCCGCCTGCCAGCCTTCATCAGCCCCAGCGGTGAGATGCAGAGGTCTGCTCCGCCGCTACTGCTGCCGTGCACGCATGCTGAGCCCTGCTGCTGCTGCCGGCGCTGCCGCCGCCTTCTTTCCACCCGCCAGGACTGCCTCGACTTTGTGCGCCACGAGTTCCCTGATTACTTGGAAGCCTACCGGCGGCTGGGCAGGGGCGTGGAGCGAGCAGACTTCTTCCGGTGAGCCCCACGCTGGGAGGCAGGCGTGCGGCAGGGCGCTGCGGGGAGCAGGGTGGTGCGAAGCGGAGCGGCTGCTCCGTGCCTGGTCGTTCGTTTCACATGGCGCCGAAGCGTGGCCCAGTGCCGGGCTGGCCAGCTGCTACTGGTTGTCGCGCCGCCTGCCCTGCCTCCAGCATGGCCTCCTCTTCTTCTTTCCACCACCACCTCGCCCGCCCCCCCTCCGCCTCCACCCCCTCCTCCACTGCTGCCTCCGCAGGTACATGGTGGTGTTGCGCCTCGGCGGCGTGTATGCCGACGCGGACGCCGAGTGCCGGCGCCCGCTGGACGGCGTGGTGCACAGCAAGGACACGCTGGTGGCGGGGTGGGACAACGAGTTTGCAGAGGCCAGGGCGGCGCTGGAGGCAGGGTGCGCACTTCGGGGTGGTGGGGTGGCGGTGGTGTGTGCATGGTGGTGTGTGCATGGTGATGCTGGTGGTGTGTACGATGTGTGGAGGGCAGCGGTGGACGCCGCGGCTGGGGGAGGAGGAGGAGGAGCGGTGGCAGGCCGGCGGCAGGCTGCGGGCCAGCTGCTGGCGGCCTGCTGCCGGCAGGGCTTTGCCGCGCCTGGGGCTGGGCGGCTGCCGCCGACGGTACTGCTGCGTGCGCCCCGCTCCCGCCGTGCAGGTACGTGCGCATGCGCCAGCTGGTGCAGTGGGTGTTTGCCGGAGCGCCCGGCCACCCGGCGCTCAAGGAGCTCTGCGACGCGATTGCCGCGGGGGTGGGCCGCCGCCAGAGCTTCTCGGCTGACGCCCGCATCGACGCCCTGGAGCGCACCGGCGCGGGGCTGTTCACAGATGTGCTGCTGCGGCATGCGGCGCAGCACCCGCCCTCGCGTCGGGACGACCCCTGGGGCGTGCGCCTGCTGCCCCGCCTGCTGTTTGGCGCGCCCAGCAGGCCCGCCTACGGCCTGGCGCCGGACGACCCGGGGGTGGCGGTGCTGCACCACAGCGCAGGCGGCACCTGGGAGCAGGGCAGGTGGGGCCCGCCTGCGGGAGCGAGGACAGCATGCATGCATGCATGCATGCCCGATGAGCATGCTAGTTGCTGCTTGATCAAAAGACGGGCGGCGGCGGCTGTCAACCGCCTGCCGGCCCACCGGCCCCCAGGCTGACTTCTTGTCTCCCCCTCCCGGTGCCCCCGCCTCCGCCCGTGCCCCGCTCCCTGTGCTGCAGCAGCCACTGGCCGTGGCAGGTGACGGTGCAGGGCGTGACGTCTGAGGTGGCGCGGCGCTGGCGCCACCGCAGCGAGGACGCCGAGGCAGAGCAGGCCAAGGTCATGGCGGAGCGGGACGAGGCGGTACAGCTGTACCCCGTGTCTGTTGACTTTGACCCGCCCTTTGACCTGCTCACCCACCGCGCCGGCCGCGGCGAGCGGCAGAGCGGCGCCGACGTCGGCGCCGCCATCACCACGCACGGCGGCTGGCAGCCCTCGGTGCAGCCCTCGCGGCGGCCCAGCCTGACCGACGCCGTGGTGGGCAGCATGGGCGGCGCCGACTCCCGGCGCAACGTCCTCATAGGTGAGCTCCCCGTGCCCTGGGCGGGGCAAGCAGCGTGGGTAGCATGTGGCTACTGCGTGAGTGCAAAGCCGGGCTGCTGGCGGACGCAGGGCGCTGTGGTCTGTGGCCTGCCTGGCCAGCAGCCTGCCCACCTTGCCGGCCCGTCTGCTGCTGTTGCCGCCCCGCCCCGCAGATGTGGGCGCGGGCTACGGCTTGCTCTCGCTGGCGGCGGCGGCGCGCGGCCACAGGGTGCACGCCTTTGAGCTGGGCCCCGCCAGCCTGGAGGCGCTGGAGGCCAGCGTGCGGCACAACGGCTTCGAGCACCTCGTGGAGGTGCGGCGCCAGCACTGCCACCGCCGCCTGCTGCGCCGCCGCCTGCTGCACCGCGGCTCTTGCCGCGCTTCCTCGCGGGTTTCATCGTCGCCGCCGCCGCCTGCACGGCTGCTTGTTGGCCTCCTGCGCTGCTGCGTTGCTGCCTGGTGGGGGCTGCCTCGTGGCTTCCCAGCCTGCATTTTGGTGCCGCCCTGCATGGCCCATTGCGCCGAGGGCTTGGCATGCTCGGCGGCATGCATCTGTGAGCCTCACCCGCCAGCGCCACCAACCAGCCCACCCCGCCTGCTACACTGGCAGGTGCACAAGGAGCCGCTAGGGTCACCCGAGCAGGAGGGCTACACCTGCATCTTGCCCAAGCAGAGCAGCGGCGGCAGCGGGGGCTCCGCGGCTGCGGCAGCGGCAAACTTGGAGGTGCAGCGGGGCTATGGCCCGGCCGATGTGCACGCCATGCCGGCAGAGAGCTGCCAGCTGATGACGCGGAGGTCGGCGGGGGCCTGGGCCGTGCCGGAGACCGACCGCGTGGCCGCGCTGCGGGTATCAGGTGCGCTTTGCTGCGAGACGGCAGGCGCGCCTTTCCCAGCTTGTAGATGCCGCTCGAGTGGCTGTGGATGATGTGCAAGCGGCGGCTTTGATCGATGGCACTACGTGCAATCCGACTTGCCGCCTCTGCTCCGCGCCCTGCTGCAGCGAACGGATGGGAGGGCTTTGTGCTCCAGGGCTTTGCCCCGCTGCTTGAGCGCCCCAACCGGCCGCCGGTGGTGGCGGTGGAGTGGAACCCGGCTGCCATGCGGGCGGCCGGCTGGCGGCGGCCGCTGAAGCTTGTGGAGTGGTGGGTCACGGTGCCCTGGCCTTCCCTGGTCTGCTGCCTCGGGCCTGCGAGTCGTGCCCTTGGCTGCCACCTTGTGGGCACCTGCCTGTATTTCCCTGCTGAGCTGGCATGTGCTGACGTGGCGCCTGCGCAGGCTGCACGGCCTGGGCTACTGCGACATCTCCCACAGCGGCTACGTGTGCGACGAGCGCTGGTACAGCATCACTTACGGCATCAGGTGGGCTGGCTTGGTGCTGGGCGTACGCCTCTGTGTTTTGCTATGAGCAGATCTGATGCGCATGCGGGGCAGCTGTGCTCCCCACCCGCCTGCCTCACAACCCTGGCTGCAAATCTGCCTGCCTGCCTGCAGGCGGCGGGGCGGCATCCGGCCAGAGGACCTGGCGGGTCTGCGGCAGCCCACCTGGTGCCGCCTGCTGCCGCAGCACTTCTCGCTGCTGCTGGACCGAGCCAGCGGCGCCTACCCCGAAACGCTGCTGTTTGTCAACCGGGCGGCGGCAGTGGCCAACGCCAGCAGCAGCGGCAGCAGCAGCAGCGGCAACGCTCCCGGGGGCGAGGCGGCAGCCGGCGGCCGCAGCGCCAACACAGACGAGTTTGGCGTGCCTGACGTTGTGGCGCAGGCGTTAGCGGAGGCGGCGCTGATGGTGGCAGACCCAGCGGCCAACCGCACGGCGGCGGCGGTGTCAGACCTGGCCGCCGCCGCTGGGAACGGCAGTGGCAGTGGTGGCGGCGCCACCCTGCACGCATCGGGCAAGCAGCGAGCGCCGGGGCAGCAGCAGGCGCAGCAGCGGCAGCCGCGGCAGCCTTCCAGCGAAGAGCCTGCCGTTCAGCACGGCGAGCAGTAGGCTCCACTTGCCGTGGGCGCCTTTGCTGCCTGGCCACCTTTCATGCTAGTGCATTTTGTCCTCACATCCAGCACTGACCTTATTCTTTCCTCCTGTTTCTCTGCTGCTACACATCCCGCTGTATACATAGCCACGCAGCTGTCCCCCTGCTGTTCTGTGGAATTCTGTGGAATGGAAGGGCACCCTCTGCCCTTGGCTCTGGTGAGGAGAAAGGCATCAGGCACCGGAAGCGGGCCCCGCTGCCACTTGTTCAGCGACGTCCCCGGATTGCAGGACGGTGATGGCGTAGGCCACGCTCTGCAGGGCAGGCGGTGGGCCGGGCATGGGGGGCATGCATGCATGTGGCTCATGGGAAGTCGTGCAGTGATGCTGCCTGCCGGAAGCTGGAAGCTGGCATGGGCAGGAGCCACACAGCCCGTGCACGTCCCGGCGCTCACGTTGCCCAGGGGGAAGGCGACTGGGTAGATGCTGGCCGTGGCCCCCAGCTCCACAAAGGTGGCTTCGATGGTGCCGGCCTCGGGGTTGTCCTTCAGGGTGATGGTGACGTTGGCCAGGTTCTGGACCGACCCCGCCGCCACCAGCTCGCTGGCCTGCAGTGCTAGCACGCAGGGCGACAGAGGATGGGTGGGTGCGACGGTTGCCGTCCATGCGTGCGGGGTCCATGCTGATGGGCAGCTCTGGGGGTGCAACACACAAGCCTGGTGCCAGGCTGCTGTGGCAGTGCAACAGCAGCGCGTGCAAGGTCCTTGGGGCGGCGCCGGGCGGCCCCGGCGGCGAAACTCACATTCCAGTAAACGTCAGGAAGCACGAGGTTGGGGGAGAGCTGTGGGAAGGCCTGAGCCTGAGCGGCGGTGGTGGCGTTGAGCAGTGGGATGAAGACAGTGTAAGCGGCATCTGGGGCCAGCAACTCTGCAGGTGGAAGCGGCGGGGGGGCGGAGGGCGGACCGGTGGGGAGCCAACTGGCCTGGCCCGCGCGGGAGGCCTGGGTGGCAGCTTTCCGCCTCTGTATCCCAGCGTGTGCACATTTGCGAGCTGCAGGGGGAGGTTGGCGAGCATTGCACCCACATGGGTATCGGGAGAGAGTTCTCCCGGGCGGCCTCACCCGGCACAGGTTCCGTGATGAATGAGTAGAGGGGGTTCATCTCGACGAAATCCGAAACCCCCGCGCAGCCCTCCTGGCCGGCACAGCGCCTCAAGCCACCAGCCACCAGCACCAGCAGAAGCAGACCCCAGACAGCGCGCATTGTAGCCCGAACCGTCTGCACAGGTTGATCAGCTGCGCGGATGTGGCTGAGAACGCCCCCAGGGCCACTGTGAGAAAGCCCCGACGCTGGCAGCGCCCGCCAGGTCGGCGCCCAGGTGTCAGTTCTGCAAGAGAAGACTGCAGGATCGATCAGGCGATGATGATCGCCACGAACCTGCAACGTGTGGGCTTACTGCGGCCCACACATGGCAGCAGGCGAGCATTCCATTCGGGAATAGTGCTGATGTCGCTCCGCGCCGTGGAGTATGAGGTGCACGGAATAGGTGGGAGGCTGACCCGGCCCTGGTCCGCTGCTAGGCAGGGGCAGGGGGCGCTCATCGCCACCGCCGGCGAGGCTGCCCCGGCGCTCTGCCGCTCCGAGCCCCGCCTGTCTTGCTCAATCATCTCCTGTCCCCTCTGCAGTCCAAGGGGTTTGGTTTCGCGCGCACACCCAGGACAAGGCGCGGCAGCTGGGGGTGGTGGGCTGGGTGATGAACACGTCGCAGGGGACGGTGAAGGGCGAGGTGCAGGGGCGGGACGCGGCTGTGGAGGAGATGAAGGTGCATTGCGATAAAGGGTGTGCATTGCGATAAAGGGTGTGCACCATGCGGGAAGTTGCCCTGAGTGTGCCAATCCATTACAGCAGGCATGCCTCTCGCCAGGGCAGCCAAGCTGCCGCCGCGCCGCTGAGCCTCGCATGGCATGCCCTTGTGCTACCAACGCCTCGCCCCGCCTGCAGGACTGGCTGGCCACCAAGGGTTCCCCCCACTCTGTGATCGAGCGATGCGAGTTTAGGAATGAGCGGGAGCTGGAGGCGCTAGAGTACAGCAGCTTCTCCACAAAGCGGCGGTAGCCCAGCTCAGCGCTGGAGGCGCTGAGCTATCTCAGGCTGCTGACCTCCCTCTGACCACTGATGGCACCAGTGACACTGCCTCCCGCCTCCTGGCAGCAGCTCGGCCGGCAGCACCCCGCTGCAAACCAATCGCCCTTGCGTGGTGGCAGCAAGCAGGTCCAGTGGGCTGCCGGCGGCTACCCAACAGCACGTGTTACAGTGTGCATTGGAGCCCAGGGGGCTTCTCAGTTTCTGGGCCAGGTACATGATGTGTGGGTATGAACATAAAGAATTCGCTATCCAGGCTCTGAGGCCTGTTGATTTAGAAACATGCCCTGGAAGCTGCTTTATGCCAACGCAGGCATGCCAATGGCGGGGCAGGCAGGACACAGGAAGCGTGGGGGCCGGGCATGGGAGCTGCCTGCAGCGGATTAGCACGCAGGGCCTACATTAATGAAAGAAGATCTATGTGGCACACGCCGCGTTCTGGCAAATTTGAGCTTGAATGTGAATGTTCATGAAGGGTTGTGTGGGAGGGAAGAGGGTCAATGGCATTGTCAGGGGGATGGACAGCGCTGGAGGAACAACAGAATCGGACGAGATGCGATGGCAGGCATCGCATGAAATGGGAGAGGGCGGGAACAAGGGGGAAACTGCATTTCCGTGCATTGTGCATATGACATGGGATCGCGGCAGCGAGGCGGCAGCTGCGCCGCCGCAGGCCAGCAGGCCCCTCAGCACGGCATCGGCACCAGGCTGGCGCGCAGCAGCACGCCGCCGTCGTCGCGCAGGAAGCCGGCCGCGGGGTCCAGCAGCTCTGAGCGGGATATGAGGGTGGTGAAGCCGTACTGCGGCTCCAGCGGGTCGAACGTGTGCTCCTCCAGCTGCAGCCAGGGAGCCCAAGGTGTGTGTGCGGGTGTGGGTGTGGGTGTGGGTGGCAACGGCGAAGCGGTGGCGAGCTTGTGTCGATTGCCAATCGTGAGCATGAGCATGAGACACAATCCAGGCTTGTGCTGGGCCTGCTGCCAGGGGGCGCAGACAGCACGCTGCGCCGGTACGCCGGTGGCGGTACAGCGCCAGCAGGCTGCCAGCCTTGGGCGGGCTGGCAGGCCTGCCTCCCCACTCGCTTTCTTCGCGGGCAGCAGCATCGCTTCGTGCCATACCAGCACGTGCGACGCCCCCCCACCCGCCCGTTACGGCACCTGCCCACCATATGGGGGCTTTGAGGTTGGGGTGGCCCTCCGAGGGGGCGGAGGGGATGGGGAGACCCTTGCGGAGCTGGCGAGGCGGGCCAGCGCCTGCCCGCCCCCTCCTGCAGCCAGCCACCCACCCGCGACAGCGACATGCCTCCGCGCGCGCTGACCACCGTCAACACAAACATCAGGCGCTGCCTCCAGCTGGAGAAGGGTGTGAAGGCGTGGCCGCCGACGGCAGACAGGTAGACAGACAGGGAGCGGCCGCGGCCGTTGAGGCCCTGAGGGTACGCCACCAGGCGCCACTGCACCGGGCGGGGGCAGGCTGGGACACGGGGGGCGGGGGCAGCGGGCCCAGCGAGAGAGCGCGTGTCAGTGCCAGCCAGTGCGCTATGCTGTGCGGATCATTGGCAGCACGACTTTTGCCCCCTGCGAGACACCTCGTTCACCCACCGACACACCAGCACGCACCCCACCCACCACCACGCCTCGCTCCGTGCCGCTCCCTCACCTCTTGCTCTCCCAGCTTGATTGATGGCGACTGGAGGGCTCCCGAGGCATGAGCCACATCCGGCAGCAGCCAGTCAAGCTCCACGCCCCCAGCAGCAGGTGCCTGCTGCTCCTGCTGCGCCCCGGCTGTGCTGACAGGCGCATGCGGCAGCTCCTGCCGCTGCACCTGGCGCCGCTCAGGCGGCGGCGCAATTGGCGCCTTGGGGGGGCGCACGGCGCCGCCGGGGAGCGGCAGCGACAGCGTCGGCAGCGGATCGTCCAGCCAGGCTGGAAGCGCCGAGGGGCTGCGCTTGAGTAACGCCACTGCCGCCTTCCCACCAAGCTTGCCAGGGGGCACCTCATCGACAGACTCTGGCGGCTGCGGGGGGTCAGTGCTCCAGCAGGCATTGATTGCACGCACAGCCTCTATCAGAACAGGATGGGGCAGCAGCAGCCGCAGCAGCATTCCCTCCTCACCCCGCTTGCCGGCGGCGCCGATTGCGCGCGCTGGACGGTGTCGGCGGTGCCGGCCCTTGGGGAGGGCGCCGCCGCCGTCATGCCCTGGGCTGTGCTGGAGCCTCGGCTGGTGCGGCGTCTGCTGGCCATGCAGCCAGTAGCCTCCTGCCTGCTCAGCCCTGCGGTCGCCAGCAGTGCGTGCTGGCTGTTGGGGCCGCGGCAGTTGCGGGCCCAGCTCGCCGGCAGCTTCTCTCGCGGCGGATGCGGCTGCGCCCCCAGCTCGAATGTGCAGCGCTTCAGCAGGCGTGGCCGCCGCGCTGTGTCGTCCGCCTGCAGGCAGGCCTCCAGCTCTGCCCTGTCCAGCGGGCCCAGCCAGGGGCTTGTGGGGGAAGCCGTGCTGGGGGCGGGACGTTGCTGCAAGGGGGCAGGCGGCGGCACCCGCAGCGTTGGTGCCACAGCGTCGGCAGAAGCAGAGGGCGCCCAGTATACATGGGATGTATGCCTTGCGCAGTTCAGCGCATGCCGATATCGATGAGGGCAGGCAGGCAAGCCAGAGTGTGGCACCGCTGGTCGTGCCGTCGTGGACCCCAAGGCGGGCCGCTCCTTACGCGGCCCTTGGTGCTGGGCGGCATGCGCTGCAGGCCTCCTACAGCTCACGCACAGCTTCCACGACGCACCTGACCCGCCTCTGAGAATCAGGGGAACGGTCTGCGAGGGTCTGCAGTTGGATACCGGGTGGATTGGCGAGGACAGCAACCCTGCGTTACCGGGAGCGCAGCAATATGAGACCAGTGGATGAAAGAGGCGCTGAAAGGCAAAGGACCGGCAGTAGGCTGAGCATCCAGGGCGACGAATGACGGGGAAAGGGGTGCACGGCTCCCTGATCCTTCCCACCTAGCCACGGGTTGCTGGCAGCCTCTCACAGGTGACAGGAGCTGAAGGAGTAAAGGTATCCTCCTCAGGGAGTTCTGGAGATCGGTGTGGAGCTGAACCGGAACGTTGAGGGGTGTGGGGAGTGTCGTGCAGCTTCTTTGAGCATGGTTGGGCGTGAAAGACGGCCTGGGAGTTGAGGAACGAAAGACCGGGCCAGTCCAGCTCAGGCCTCGGCCATCTCCGCCCTGCATTCTGCTGGTTCTCAAGAAACAAACCACTCTGCTGGACACGTCCCTACTCGATCCACGGCCCAGCGCCTCTGAGCACTCTCCCACCTTTGGCAGAAAGCCCTTTCTCTCTGCTCTGTTCACGCGGTGCCCCGCCCCACACTCAGCACATCCGCCACAACATAAATTGGTGCGCCGCCCCGCCCTGGCGCGCTGGCGACATGGGGCCGGCTGCTGGAGCTGCCGAAGAGGGCGCCCCTGCGCTCTTGAACTACGCAACGACCTATGGTGCGCCCTGTGGGCGCAGAACAGTGGTGCAGGGCCCCCACGACACCGGGTTCGGCCACCCCCAGCGGCGGGACTCGTGGGCTTGCCGCCGCTGCCGCCCCCCTCTGCCTTTTTGGAGCCGCGGCCCACTGTTCTGGCACGTGCACGCGGTGTTCGGTACCCCAGAGGCCAGGAGGCAACTGGGGATGCCAACGGTTCCCTCTGGTTCTGCGTGTGCTTGCCCTCCACCCCTTTCCGCTCTGCCCCTCGCAGATCGCGGCGCCACTATCCAGCACTGGCAGCTGCGAGACCTGGTGCACTGCCCGCAGCGTGACGAGGAGCTGTTCTGCGTGTGTCGCCACAGGTGCGGGCTGCGCACGGCGCATGCGCTGCGCCAGGCCTGTTGAGCTGCCCTCCGCCAAAGCGGGGCGGTGCCGTGGCCCGGCGCTCAGGCCTGCCCCTGCCCTCGCCACAGGACGTTGCGGCATGACCTCAACAACAGCAGCACTAGCGTGGCGCAGGAGCTGAGCTTCGAGGTGGGTGTGCAGGGTTGTTTGGGTGCGGGAGGCGGCGGGTGGGTTTGTGGCGCAGGCCTCTCCAAGCAGTGGCTGCCTTGCCACGCTTCCTCGCCTTACCCGCCTCCCTGCCTCCCTTCGTTTCTCACTGCCTCCACATGCCCCCTTGCTGGCTGCAGCCCACCAGCATGACGGTGGGCCACGGCTACGTGGCGGCAGGCGGCCAGAACAGCCAGCTGGACGTGCGGCAGCTGGCGGGCGGCGAGATTGTGTACAAGGTGTGGCGGGGCGGGCTGCCTGCCGCTGCCCTGCACCCTGGCCGGCCGGCCTGGCCCCGCCCCGCCCACCCGGCTGCACCTCCCTGCCTGGACCAAACCTAGCCTGGAGCTCCCGTCCCGCCAGTACCGCCCCACCAACCCTCCCTGTGTCTGTTCCCTGTCACCACTCACCCCCCCACCCCGGTTTCG